GAGAATTTGGAATTTGATCAACTAATAATTCCCTTTTCCTTATCACTTGTCTGCTACATATTGTAGGGAGAAATTCTGTCTTGATAACTTATGGCAGTTATATCTTTACCGAGCTCAAAACTCACCATCTTTCTTATTCTAGTATTAATATGTATAGCTCAAAACTATCAAACAGGAATTTCTAAATTTCCCCACCTGATTCACACAATCCAACTGATCCTCCACATCCATTGCAAAAACTTGTCTTTCAAGTCCCTTTCCTGGAGGTGGCCTGATGGATAAGAAGAATAAAAACATTAAATGATAAAAATAATTACATAGTGCAGAGTAAAAAAAAAAAAGTTAAAACAAAAAGTAATAAATCAGGGCTAACAAAAGCTTATAATTTTTAAGCACACAGCTCTTTAAAATTTATGCTAATAGTGTTACAAAAGAAATAGTTCACTTGCAGTCTACACCATTGGCTTATGGATGCAATTAGGAGGTTTGCTAGGCACTCAAGAAGATAGTCACTCCTGGCTATTGCCTCATGCGACTTGTATGCTTCTTACATGCTTAGCAACCTCCTGCATGCATCCATAACTCAATCGTTGCACACCACACCCTAACATTTCTTCAATAAACAACAAAAGCAAGTGAAGTCCCATCAAGTTCATCATTTGTATCATTTTCTTGCATGCTTTCACAAGTGTTACTTCTATGTCTACATGGTCAGCAATGTTTGAGCCACACCCAAACTGCCCTACTTTAATGGGTAGGGTTCAAGCTTATCAAAATATCCCTCATGTCAAAAGGGGACCAATTCCCCACCCCCCACCCCCACTGTTTCTGAGCTGATCAATCATGTTACCTGGGAAGTTTAAGATAACTTCCTCCATAGCTTGAATACTTGTTGTCAATGCAACTCCAGTTAGCTGTGTAGAATCTGATACACTAGAAAGTGAAAAAAAAAAACAAAAAAACATGAGCTCTTGTTTATTTTAAAATGTCAAATTCTGAGAAAAACAACCAGCCTCTAGATAGACTGTGTAACAGAGATACCTAATGATTTATACCTTACAGTGTAGTTTTGTGTGACTCAACCGGCTACACCACAGGCCACTAGCCCCAAAAATCTTAATCTTAGATGTCGTTGCAAGGCATTTAGTGGCTTCACCCTTTACACACTAGCATTAGTGTGCATATTTTCTATACTGTTCTTCATACATTTCCTACGGTATACTAACATGGAGAATTTGTTTATCAGTCACGAGCTCCTTTAGTGGGTAATCATTTCTTTTATCATATGACCTGTCTGGCCCTGCTTGCACAGTCCCATAGAAAATGATAGTAAAAAGGTCGGGGCCAAACAGGTTGATGTGAGGTGGTCTGGAAAGAGCTGTCCCACCCAGCTGCCTTCACTTTGTTTAGTTGCAAAAACAGAAATGGGAAAAAAAGTTGCATTTTTCATACAACTGGGGGTTTCTTGTTCTGGCATGAAAAAAGTAAAGGAAAAGTTAAAATTACAGAATTTTTTTGTACTCATGTCTCTGTGCATGCCCTTCTATTGCATCTTATTTTGGTTGAAATTTTTAATGCTTAGTGGTCATATGATAAAATGCTTATTAACCGAGTTTGGTCAGCCCTGATGGTAAAATATTTGGCTCTTGGTCATCAGGCAAGGACCTTGCTGTCCTCCGTTTGTATGTCATGTCCTTCAGCCAAATTTTTCCTTTCCCGCCCTCTCAAACAGTCAATGAGTACATATTATTCTAATGGCCTTAATGTTTGTCTCAACAGTTTTAAACCTCATAAATCAACTTTTAATTTAATCAGATATCCAATAAATTATCATCAATTTACCTCTCTTGTAAATAAGTTGGATGCTTTGGAGAGAGCATCACCAGGCACTGTTGAATGTATAGTCCGCTGTTGCCGAGGAATTGTAAAAGCCTGAATGAAAGTTATGGAGGATTATGCTGTTATTTCAAAAGATTCACAAAAACAAAAAATAACAAAATCAGTCCCTGTCAGTTATTTTTCCCATCAACACTTCTACCCTTATGACTTAATTTGATATTGCAAAATTTTATCCAGCTCTAGACATCACAAAATCTTGTGACACAGAGAAGGATTGCATAACCTGGATTACATAATCTAGACAAAACATACACTTAAATTTATCTAATAATTTCAATATATCAACAAAGTTGAAATGGTAAATTGGCCATTGTTACGATTATAAAAGCTGGCGTTTCGATTGGTGATTGGTGGGAAAACGTAGCTCCATTTTCTGCCTTTAAAAGCACACACAGCCCACAATTCCTCTTTTCACTCCAACGAAGGGCTAACGCTTGAAATGTCAGTTTTTATAATCGTAACGGTGGCCAATTTACCATTTCAACTTTGTTGATATATTGAAATTATTTTGTTACCCCCACCGACGCAGTCCCAGTTTCTTTAGAAACTATCAGCCTTTAAAATTATCAGCTTTTAAAACTATCAGCCTTTAGAAACTATCAGCCTTTAAATTTATCTAAGTCCAATGAACTTTGAAGACATGATGGCAACATTTTTCAATCTCCAACCAGTAATTGTGAATCAAATTCTTATATTTCTGAAACAGAGAGTTCAACTTCTGACCATAAATGCCCAAGACTAGAGAATTCTCATTGCCAAACTAGAAGACCTTTATTCTTAAAAATGAGAACTGTTTCTCAAGTTTGTATTATATCAGAGGCCTGATCTAAGCTTTAATGCACAAACTGTAAACTGAATTGAGCACTACCATCTGATACACAAAAAAATTAAGTTCACAGGCTTAAAACTACCCACAATAACCCTGAAGTTTTCATCAGGGAGTCATGTTTATGAGGTAAATGTCAAACTACAGCTATAGGAAAGTCAAACTCAGCGCCAAACAGTTTCTTTAGAAACTATCAGCCTTTATACAGCTATAGGAATTTTACAAAGTATAAACTAAGATTAACAATGGGTAAAATACTGAAAAACAACACAGCACATAAGATAAAATTAAAATTTTCAGTTGAATGGATAGAACATGATTAACCTAATAAAAGTAATTGGTATCTTAATCATAAAATGTAAATTTTGTCAATTTTGTCAATTTACTCATAATTGAAAACAAAACCTATAAATTTGTATGGTTTAAAGTAAATTTCCTGTTTTAAATTTTAAATGATATTTTTTTCTCAGGGATCAACATAAAGGACACAGCCAGGCATAGATCTTTATATAAAGTTCATAAACTTATAACCGCCAGACTTTATAATCTGCACACGATATGGCTGTGTGATACTTCTCACAGATACTGATTAAAGCAGCATAATTCACATTATGTCACCATGCAGATATTTTGTGAATGAAAAATTGAAGGTTAACCAAAACTTTTATACAATGGGTGAATTTTCTTTAAAGTTTGAACTAACTTGTTTCCTAACAGAATGCTCTAAGTGAAATATGCCAGAATGGAAAATATTTCTCTTTTAAAGGCTCATAAAGAAAAGGAAATCAGATATATCAGCTCAGACACGTGTCAGAATAACAAAAATTACCATGAAATTGTAATGTATTCAAAAATGACAACAACTTAAAAAGAGGCCTTATAAGACAGTTTTTCACAGCTCCATAGCACTAGCGAATTATAAGACAACCCCTATTCAAACCTTGAAAACTTAAATGGAAATTTTGAAGATGTACACACTTCTAAGAATGCCTGGGGCATGCCCCGCGATCAAATTTATAACGACAATACTGGAACGATTCTCCATATTTGTTTTATTTAACTTCAAACAATGAAAGTCATTACTGAACAGGTAGATTTCAGTTTTCTAAAAAGATGCATGACTTTCGAATCTTTTTGGGTGAAAAATATCAGAAATTGCAATGACATATTTATAAAAATTTGTTGACATCTCATTATAAAAAAAAAGAGAAAACGAAGAAAGAAGTGTTCCAACACCTGCTCAATTCAAGACTTGCAAAAATCATTGGCTTTAATTTACATGTCTCTCCGAAAATATTACGATAAGACACGTTTGTTTACGAAGGTTTTCTGTCTCCTTTACTTCACTTCAATTTTCATTAATTCTTACACAAAAACTTTATCGCAGGGATACTTTACAAGTAGTGGCAAGGGTCACATTTTCTGGAATAATATTCAACCCACGATATCAACCCAAAATATTCATAAAACAAGTCACACAATTTTCCACAAAGAAATGAAATCGGTATCCAAATAAGCGTGATTTTTGACTTAAAGAAAAGTCAAGAACTCCCCATTATCCAAAATCAAAAATATAAATTTAAATAAGCGAAGAGTAATTCATAAATCAAAACGAAGTCCATTTGGGAAATATTACTCGACGACGTCTGAACTTGAATGGATTTGGTGAATGAAGTCGACGCGCTTGTCTAGTTTGTTATTGATATTCATGTAAGAGACAAATCAAACGAAAAGAAAAATCGGCACAAGCAAATTTGTTCACAAAAAGATGACTTACTGTGATCTGAAAAGATTCATCCGGGTCTGGAAATTCCGACGACATGAGAAAACTTTTCGAGTTATTAATGCGCTCGAGACATGGTTTTGACGTCGCGAGCGTCACACACATTGAGTCGAATCATAAAATTTTAATATCCAACATTTGCCTGATTTGGAAACAAAATACTACTCAGGTCACAAAAAACCTGGGCTTACACATAATTAATTGTTAATTGAACATCAACAAACTCGATGTTTGCGATGGGAAATGTGATGATGCGATGAAAAAATGCGGTAACATTTTCAAATGTGGAGTGATATGTAGTCCACGCAGTTTTCAGCAGAGCATTGCAAATTTGAAAACAATGGCTATTGTACAATACATTCAAACCAATGCACATTCGCAACGGGTTAAAAATACAGAAGTTTTCAAGCGATGGCAGATGTACATCCATTTCCGTAATTGATGTGACTGTTTTGGAAACATTATATTTGACCAAGGAAGTTCTTAGTTTCAAAGTGCTTTCAGGAATCAAGTAGATAGATATCTTGCACAAAGGCTGAATGCACTGAAGACGCTACATCTTTTGTTTTTGAGTTTTTAAAAATTATCACTTTACACCTAGAATTCACGGCACAGTCAAATAGCGTGAATCTTGCTGACAGACTACTGCAACAAACATTTTCGATTAGAAATACTTTCATGCATGCACAAGAGCCTTGTGAATTTTATTGCGGCTTATGCTACACCTATCCTGTGGTTAAATGCAACAACACTCATAAGTCAAAAAAACACGTCTTACCACAACATCGTCGTCGGGAAACAGCAACAAGATCTGCAGTGGATCTCTCAGAATTTGCGTCCGCTTTTGCACGATTTCATCTTCGTAGCTGATGGGTAGAATTCCGGTCACGACTTCCTGCACGACACAACAAATTCCGCGGTGTCATTTTATTAACAATACTTTGCTTTCTTGAAAGCAGAAAGAATTCCATTAATTTATCAAAGATCTAAATCATCTACGTGGAAAACCGCTCGATATCACAGACAACACTGCGGCTAGTTTGAGTCGTTTCTGTTTCATAATTAAGCTTCAGTATCCAGTCAGCGAGGTAACTGAGTCAAAACAGTTGCTGAATATCACAGTTAGTGAGATATTTTTGGAAATAAACTTATCAAACTAAAGGCTAAATATCTTTTGAAAGTAAATACAAATCTTCTGCTTTCAAAATCGTTTCTTTGTGTAGGTAATTGGTCGCTTTAGACTAATTTTGAGGCCAATTGGTTACTATCGGTCCAAGGTTGAGCTACAACTGATGTTTTCGTTTTGTGTCCCAGGAAAATTGCATACTCCACACACACGCACTCTCGAGATCGATGACAGCTGAACAATATTCCAAAAACGCTACTCGCTTGCAGAGATGTTTGGACGTAACAACTCATTAGCGTGACTACCGGACGAAGATCAACAAAGAACATGATGGAACACCATTATAAAATCATTAGCCGCATCTCCTACCTTCAAAGGTCTAAAATTAAAAGTGCTTTCACTCGAGGTGAGAGACTTGATATCTACTGCAGATACCGTAGATTCACGCTCCTTCCTGAGGGCTTTGCTTATTTTTCTTTCCGACATTGCTCAGGGGGCTTAATGTGAAGTGAAAACATTTCACACACGTCTCATCAGGCGGCCATGTTTGATTCATAATTTCTTGCCTCGTTTGCGAGTTGACAGTCAACGCAAAGATCAGCTGACAATACCACCCTCCCCTCCCGCATCAAAATTTGTAGGACCGATGAGACTGTTGATTTTGTGTCAAACGAACGGAGAATCAAGACAAAGTGAACCGAAAGGTCTGATTTTTTTAAATATGTTAAGCTCGATGCAAATACAGTAGGTTAACTCGGAATTTAAAACCATCAAACGCTGGGAGTAAATCATACGATAAATTTAAGTTTCCATCCTCCCCTGATCCTAAACTATGCACAAACAACTCACGAGTTCAAGATGTGATGAAACCGGAGAACGAACTTGATTTCACATTACCATTTTCAGATAACGCGTACGCGCATTTTCTTCTTATCAGCCAAAATAAATGCCATTCTTATCACTGATCAGAAATTGGCAAAAGAATAGTCATTGACGAATTAAGCAAACCAATCGAATTTAAATGACGAATTAGTAAATGAGATCTAAGCAAATAAACAAGCAGAAAGTTTAAATCCCGTGGCTTGTCCCTTGAGACTAAGGTTGACAGACCAAAAAGTTAATTGAAAAACAACATTTTTTTTTCTTATAAAGCCAAGTGCGCGGAATAAAAAGCTGAAAAAGGCGTCATTCCCAAAAGTTTTATTTATTACTTTTTTTTCCGACTTGAAAGCACGTGAGCAAAATCTTTGAGCAGTGAGCATTCCTGTATTTTTCATGCCCAATCTCCCCACCCATGGTCAACCAAGCCTGCCGCTAATCTGTAACACGGAAAAATAACTTTTGTTTTAGGTGAGAGATCGATCCGAGGGTGGTTGACGAAGATCCGGAAATGGACAATTTATTAGTGACGTCTGAAATTGTTTACACTTCACCGGAAGGTAAACCGATAAAGATGGTATGCGAACAAAATTCACGTTTTTAACGGTGCGATATGAGTACAGAAATGCAGAGACCAAGGCACAGCTTATCTATCACAAGATGTGTGTCGCAGAAGGAAATGAAGTCTCAAGATAACCTGTTACAAGAGAGGATAAACACTTCATCCTCTCTTGCCTGCTATTTTGCACAGGCAGACCACCCACTGGGAGCGACAGGAAGGAAGAACTTCTCGAATGTAAAGGAATGTATGAGGGATGCAAATGAAATCTGCATCTTTGTCCAAAATCCTCAATAAAGTGAAACAAAATATTGGTGCACTTAAATATAGCAATTTTTTGCCTCTGCGGACTGATTAAAAAGTCCTTTTATTGAATTGTTCGCAACTGCTGGTAACAGTTGCGACCGATGTGCCCTGCTTATCATGCCCATTGGGTGCTCTGCCTGTGTTATAAGCGTGCCCTTTTTTAGTGAACGCGAAAATGAAACAGTGCAAGAGTCGGCGGTCCGGATCTTGTGCTGCTTGTGCACTCTCCCCGCCTAATCTGGTGGCAATCTTATCACAAAGCAACCTCAGTTTGCGATGATCTAATGCAATTAATGGCGATGGAGACGGAAACGTCTGGAGGGACTTACTCCTCGCCGGTCGTCTCTCTACCTTTTAATCAAACGAGGGAAGCGCTCGAGAGCCGCGCGTAGGCGAAAGTTGTCTGTTTCGTCGCGATATTTCAAGTCTCCCGCGACCACGCGACTGCGTACGAAGAATTGCATACGACTGGGAGCGAGTCAGCTGGAGCGAATGTTGAAACCAAGACTGAGACTACCAAGAGAGCACTACAGATTGCAATTCGTGCACGAGGCTCGTGCGTGTAGCTCGCGTGAGTTACACGCGAGGAACTATGTATTAAGAAAAAAAATCTACCTTACCGTAAGCGCTGAATCCTGGCCATCCTGAATATTTTCAACAAGAAACACCTGAGTAAGAAAAGGAATGATCTCAGGTAAGTTGCCGTTGTCATCAGTGGCGACGTGAATGCAAGAACAGTGAAGTACTTTGAATCGAAGTTAATTTATGTTTAGTTAAAACCCTCATACTATAAAGCTAGCCTGAGATGAAAGTTGTTTAAAAAAATATACATGAAAAATCACACCAGGTAAACTGATCATCTTGGGAAGTCCACTCAACCTTTTGAAAATCAGAATCGCTGTTTATCAGCAATGGAATGGAACATAAAACTAATGATAAGGGTCACTAATTTATCGCTTTTCGATTGCTGGGTCGTAAAACCAAAATCGGGGGACATCATACCAATGCCCGACCAGAAAAAAAAGACAGTCAAAGACTGCATTGGGCCAGTAGTATAGCACAACTAGTGTTGCAGAATATTTTGTCACACAAGCAAAACAGAAAACCTGCCGCATCCCACATATTTATGAGTATCCTGTTCGACAAGAGAAGGATAATTTAAAAAGATATAGTCTAATTAACATTTACGACGAACTACTAAGATAGTCCGAAAAAACAATAAGTAGTATTGGGACACATCAGGTCAAAATTAGGTCAGATCGGTATTATATTGTTACACTCACTAACTCACTTACTCGTCTCGACGACATATCTATGTGGCTTCGCCTCCTATAGGAGGAAGTAGCCACAAAAAAAAAAGAGAAGCGTATTGCGCCGGGAGTGCCTGGGATCTCATTGTTAAAAATAAGCAAATTGCCTGAAAGGGGGGAAAACGCGGGGAGTTGAGATGATGATGGTTTTTTTTTTTTTTTTCATCTGGCCCCGGTTGTTCGAAGGGTAGACAACGTTATCGTCTGGATTAATCTCTACGAGATAGCCCAGTACGTTTAGTCAGTAAATACTTATCGATATCTGCCAGATAGTGATTTATCCTTTGGATAGCATCAAGATAGCGCTATCCGCCTGTTGAACAACTGAGCCCTGATTCCTTGAGAGGGACGCCTTTTTTTTTTTTGGTCATTTCCATTCGCAGTAAAGCAAAGCTAATGCAATGAGACTCGGTGTGTTGAAGAAGAAGTGAATCGACAAGTAGTGTAAAAAATAAAATGATAATTGAAAAATATCTGAATTAAAAAATAGGTAATCAAAATTTGGTAAAATAGATAAGTTAATAAACAATTTATGGAGCGAAGATAACGGCTAGAGTGATGGTGGTATTAGTAGAAGAAGAACTGAGGTGTAATGCATGAAGATGGCCAGTGATTTTTTAAGAATGGCAAAGACAGGAGGTGTTTTTGACATTTGGCCGGGATAAACAATGTAACGACCTTTTCGCAAGCGCTGTCTGCTAGAGCTCGGAAAAGCTAAACGAAAGGCGACTTCTAAAATTAGATTTTCAGAATTGAAATGACGATTTCCAAATTTTGATGAGGCTGCGAAACGGTGAAAAAATCTGAGAAAAGAAAAAGGAACATTCATATCACATAGCTTAACCAGTGACCATTCGAATGCGGCCCTGGGGCCCGTCTCTCAAAGATCTCAGTAACTTATCGAGCCCGTAAAGCTGTTCTGTTTTCATTCAAAATTGAGGATTAAAATGATTTTAAAAACTCTACAATAAAAGTTTCAGCTAAAGAATCAAAATGGACTGTTCAGGGAGCCAGAAACTGCTTCTCTGTTCTTTAAATTTTGATTCTAAAATATAGCTCTGGTTCCGTTAATTTACCGGGACTTTTGAGAAAAGGGCCCTGGTCTAATGTATGGTTAACATTGATCGCAGTTCAGATTTATGAATTTCATATATTCGTTGTGTTTGATTGATCGGACTGGCAGAGAAGAGAGACATGCGCGCGGAGTTTTATTGTTAGGGTTAAATCATCATAACAGATCTCTCCGCTGCCGTCTGCCTTGCTAAAAAAAATAAATCTAAAGAGGAACCCAAGCCCCAAACTTTAAAATTAAGCGCAGTAATCTGCGTCTTTAAAAAGAACAAAGTTATCAGTGCGAAAGCAAGCGAGACTAATTATTCTCACTTTCTCAGTGAGTATGTAAACAAATAACGTTATGATACTGTATCCATGTCGTTATGTTACAGTGATTGAGTCGAAACAATAGTTAACTGACTGTTAAGGAGGCGCTTCAGGTGTTTAAAAGTGATTTTTTATGTATTCCAATTAAGACCAAGTAGGGGGTTTAAAACTGAGGTCACGCAAGTCATTGAATACTTCTATCACTTAGTCCACTGGTCACGAAGGTTGCCAGAATTAAATATTGTACAAGTGTAGCAGAAATGAAAAATCTGCAGTTAAACTTACTGTAAAATTGAAAATTTAAAAAAAATGGCTACATATAAAAGACCTGAAGGCTATGAAAGCTACTCAATTTTCTTACCGTTTCATTTTCTCTACTTTTCGATTTCGTTCGTCTTGTATTTAACTTTGGACTGCTTGAAGTAACTTTAGCGACAAAGTCAGTCTTCGCAAGCTTGGACAAAAGATCAAAAGCCTTTTCGGAGGTGAATGGCGATCGCGGTCGTGAAATCTTTCGCTTTGCCGCTTTTAATGTTGAATTTTCACTCGGAACTGGTTCTTCGCGACCACTTTCCGACGAAAAAATCGGAGGAGGTGAAATTCGAACGCTGTCGTCGACCGCGCTATATGAAATGCCGCGTGGTTTTTGAGGAATAAGTTTGAAGATGGAAGTATCTGAATAAGACCGAGATTTGATGCCGACTCCCGGAGATGGAATAGCCAAGAGAAAGCCTTCATTACAGGTTCCATTATCACATTCTTCCATAGCTTTTGTTCTGTTATTTCCTCGCTGTCTCCTGCTGTGAGGGATTTTTTGTAATCGGATCATAAACGAGATGCAAAACCGTGAATGTTTATCTACGGTTTCATGGCGATAAGTCTTTTCAACGTTATGATTTATGACAAACACTTGATAGTTTGTCAATATACATCAAAGGGCAAGGATTAAAAAGCGAAGAGACCAATACTAGTGGACAATGAGAACAACAGCTAGCAAACAGATCAAACAAAAGTCTTGCTGACTTCCTTTCTGCTTCATCACAGCATTACACTCTGGCCAGCTTATCTCTTCCACAGCGACCACACTTTGACGTGTGTTATTTTCCTCTTGGTGAAAGGATAAATTTAGAATAAAAGCTTTCGTAGACGGATGAATAAACAGACTTGGCGAAGTCGGGAAAGTTTCCTTTAAAAACACCACCTCCGGTTTTGTTTTTGTATGTCCAACAAAAAAAAAAACACGCAAAATTGATTTAAGAATAATTTTCTATGAGCAATAAGAAGTGGAAATCAAAAAAGAGTCATCTAAAGCTCATAATTATCTTTATTCACACGAAAGCACTAATTCTTTCTTTTTTAAACTAAATTAAAAATTTACAAGTTTGAGAACGATGGTCACGGGTGGACATTTGACCTTTTATTTCACCACACATACCCCCTTGTCATGATTCATTAACGCGAAATGAAAGTTTGCGGTTGAACTATTATTTCGGGGTTCAAGTCTAGATAGAGCGTGATTCATATCAAGAGTGACGCAGTTTATTTTTTCCGCTATACAACTCGCTTATAGTTAACAAAAATTATTTAGACTGACCGACGTCTGTGTATCGTGTTCTGATTGGCCAGTTAATCGAAAGGCACATATTGATTTTTTTTCAAAGATTGTGCTAATTATTCAAAGGAAGAAGTACTGGCCAGCTTGAATTGTTTGAATGATATTATGTTAAAAATTGAATCGAAACAAAAGAGGCGTTTAAGATAGCAGTAGTAGTAATCGTAATTAACTCTCCTCTTAGGAGGATATTGTGAGTAAATTTACAACACTTCGCGGGGGACTTTTACGGGACTGTATTGAGCTGTTCACATTTTTTTTTTTTAAGTAAATTTTTGCAAATGCCCCCAGTTCAATTTTTTTTGGAAACATAAGCGACCTTTGTGGTTTCGAAATAAAAAAAGAAAAGAGGCCAGTTTCGTGCACATTTCGAATGAATGTCGCAAAAACAATCCCGACAAAATTGCATTAGCCATCTAGAATAAGGGAAAATAACTCACAAAGAGCTAATGAAAAAAATTAAAGGCAAGACCTAGCAAATGTGCTACACTGCGCGGGAAAAGGCAAATGATCGAGTCCTGCGGATTAGTTCTAAAAGAATCTCAACGGGGTGAATGTCACGGTAAACGGTAAAAGGAGAAAGATTTTTAAATGCAATCTTCAGTAAAGCCAGCTAATATAAGCAGTCAGATCTCTCAGAAATTCTCGATTTTGAAACTAAAATGGAGTTAAGGTACGTACTTTGACTACAACAAATGATGCCATCTGATTGGCTACGCTTGTCGCTATCTATTCTGTAGTAAATAGACGGGCCGACAGGCGGACATGCGCAGGAATAGGTGTAGACTGATTAGTTACAATTGGTCGACTACTTGTTATGAATTGTTTTAATGATGATATAAATGATTCATTGATCGAGATGTTTATCATGAATTGATTATTTATATCAACTGATTTATGACTGAGTTAATTACTTGGTTACTTCATGGATAGCTGCGTGTCTGCATCTTCTTTTCTGTCTGCCTGTCTGCCCGTCTGACTGTCTGACTATTTCCTGTTAGTGTGTCTATTGATGTTTCCTTTACGTCACAACTTTGCGTATTAAACGTAAATAATGGACTCCTGACGTAAATAAAGATGCATCTTACCGTGGGAGTTCGAGTACAGTCCGGCGTCTTTTGCTGCTTTTGTAGCTTCTTTTTCTCAGACTTGGGTGTGTCCTGAAGTTTGTCACTAGGACTTTCAGAGTCTTGCTAAACAAAGAAGTAGAAGACAGTTGTTGTACATCTACTATCAGGCATCGCAGTTGACACCTTCTTTGCGCTGCTTTTGTCGGAGACTTGCAGTAGTTATATGATTTAAACAACCAAGTGCATGTCAGTTGGTCGCCTCGACTCTACGTAATTTCATAAAGCGGTACCACTATTGATCAACTTCGATTTCGAAGTAGTAGCGTGCACAGGAATTTGTTACATCAATGAAACAAAATCAAAACACAACATGGAGAAAACTTACTGTTTTACCACTACTGCCGAATTTCGGAAGGAAAAAAGGACTTCTTTTCGGCTCTTGTCGCGGGGTCATAAGGTTCTCGGGGTCTAGTTCCAGCTGATCCTGTACGAAAAGCAAATGTAGAAGTTTAAACCTGCTAAAAATAATCAAGCCGTTTAATTAGAGGAAATATTAGACCCAGGTCTTCGTTTCAGCGTTGCCATGGGTAACTGCTTACACATGTGGTATGAAGGTATGAGGTGTGTTACGTATGGAAAGAGAGAGATAGAGAAACGGTCATGAAATATTTTTCCTAATCGCTCACGCTTCTGTGAGCGTTACGAAAAGGAATGGATATGAGTTTGGAATTATCCTCTATCCTTCGTTGCAAAGTAAAGAAAGAAGTTATGATCCACTTATCAAGCAAGCACACACAAAATTATTGGACTAAAACTACCTTGCTCTTCTGTCGTTCATGTTTAATCTTCTTTTCTGCTTTTGGACTGGCCATGGTTGTTTTTAGCTGCAGTTCACTGAAGTTTGTGGAGTCCTAGGAAATACATACGTGGACGTCTATTCCTTTCATTGCTTTTAACTTCCCCCCTAAAAAAATCCCTAATTTCTATTTGACGTTTGTTCTTCTTGTTTATCCATTTTTTTCTTATCTGTGGACGATTATGGAACAAACAAACCAACAGACAAACTAATTGAAAAACTATCAATTAAGAAAAACAATAACTTGAATATATCAACAAAGTTGAAATGGTAAATTGGCCACCGTTAGGGTTATAAAAGCTGACGTTTCCTTCGCTCCGACGAAGGGCTAACGCTCGAAACGTCAGCTTTTATAACCGTAACGGTGGCCAATTTACTATTTCAACTTTGTTGATATATTCAAATTATTTCGTTACCCCCACCGACGCAGCGCCAAACAGTTTCTTTAGAAACTATCAGCCTTTATTCATAAGAAAAACATAAGTTACCTTGTGTTTATGGTCGGCTTTCTTTTTCTGTACTTTAGGACTGGGTACGATTTCCGTGAAGCCGTTCTTGTCCATTGCAATATCTTCCTAAATAATGAGGAAACAGAAAATTTCCAATACCTCACGATCAGCCGTAACATGGCTAGCTCGTGGCATTATTGACGAAACCTCAGTCATTCTTCGCCTTTCTTTTCACTTACAACAACAACAACTAACTATTCTTTTGCCATTAGAACAACGGGGTTCATGTTAACAGCAGTAAGGCAAAAACAAATTACTCCGAATAGTAAGTAACGAAGTTAATAGAACAATTTCCTGATATCTTTAAAATCCTGTTGATTTTTTAAAACTTTTGCAAAATCATGATGATCAATCTGGTGAGGTAAGAAGCTAAAAATGATGACTCAAGACGTTTGGCCGTTTCGCCTCTTGTCTGCATTAGCCATGGGGGATAAGCTTCGTGCTGACACCACAACTCGCAACTAAACTGGCCAGCAATTTTCTCTGATTAAACTTCATTACATTTAGCAGATGCAAACTTCTATGTTTGCTTTTCATGCAGGATCAGCTTGAACAAGACCCTGCCGGAGGACGTTGTTGGCCTGCGACAAGAGTCGAAATTAGCAAGTCGTTGGTTAGTATCGCAAGCATAGAAGACGACTGTTTTATTCTGCAATTCCAATATCCAATCGAATATTTACAAAGGATAAGTTTCAGACAAAGTTTACTATTCAAAAGGGGGGTTCCTTAATGCAAATTACACGAAGAAGAGATAGAAGTCTCGTTGTGAAGGTGTAGGCACTGATTGTCCGGGTGAGTGTAGTCCTGAGAAGGACTGTTGTCGGTGGTAGTGACTGACGTTTCGACAACCTGTGCGGAAGTCATCATCAGAGTCAAGTGAATGATTGTTGTCAGTAGAATGTTCTTATTCCAGTTCGTGTGAAATGATCGGTTGGTTTTGCCGTGATGTTATTGGCTGTAAGACTCAAGTGACGTAAGTCGGTCGTGATTGGTCTGTTTCGATCTGTCGGTAAAGTTAGGTCGTTCTTTTTCGGTCGTTTGTGATGTTTATGTCGTGAATGAGTCGTTTGTATGGGGCGGGTAGTTGTTGACATCTGTTTAGGGGAGTCTGTTCTAAGTTAGTAAACCAGCTTTCCAGAGTCAGTCGTTGAAAATAGTCAGTGCTGTAGGTTAGGCATTGCGCAGAGTCACAGTCAATGTTGTGGTTGGTAAGTCGATGGTGTTCAGCAATGTGATTGCTGACATCACCTTTCCTCGTCGCCCGTCTGTGTTCAGTCAGTCTTGTTGTGAGGTTTCTGCCAGTCTCACCGATGTAGGAGGCTTGGCAGTCGGAACAATTGATCTTATAAATCATTTCCTGTCTGTTCCTCGGTTCGTCTTTGTCTTTAACGTTGGTTAGTAACTGATGTAGTGTGGTGATGGGTTTGTGGGCGACGCGGATATTGAAGGGTAGTAAGATGCGCGAGATGTTTTCAGACATGCCTTTTATGTACGGTATGGTTGCTGTAGTCGTAGGGGTTGCGGTGTCGTTTGTTTCGGTAGTGGTAGTGGGTCGGTGAGTGTTTCGTCGGATAAAGTCGTTGTTGTAGTTGTTCTTCGTAAAAACATGGTGAAAGTATTTGTTCTCGTGGGATAAGCTGTCTGTCGAGTCACATACTAGTTGTGCGCGTCGTGTTAGAGTTCTGATAGTTGTGGCTTTGTGTGATGTAGGGTTGTAGGATGACTCGTCTAGTAATCTGTCGGGGTGTGTCGGTTTCCTGTAAACTGTCGTTCGTAATGAGTTGTCGTTGCGGCTTACCAGGCAGTCTAGAAAAGGAAGTTTGCCATTTTCTTCGACTTCTCTGGTAAACTGTATGTCAGTGTTTTGTTCGTTAAGGTGGTTGTGGAATGCGTCAATTTCGTCGTGTCGAACGGCGGTGAATGTGTCGTCAACGTAACGTAACCAAAGCGGTATCGTTTGTCGGCAAGTCGAAAGGGCGCGTTCCTCGATGTTCTGCATCACAATTTCTGCTATAACAACAGAAACTGGAGACCCCATGGCAGTGCCGTGTAACTGTTTGTAGTGTTTACCGTTGTACTGAAAGTAAGTAGACGTTAGGCAAATGTTTAGCAAGTCCATGATGTCGGTAGCGGTAGTGGGTCGGTGGACTGTCACATTGCAGTCTCAGTACATTGTAATGCCAATTGAAGTGGAATACTTGTGAACAGTGATTTCACATCAAATGACACTAGTTTGTAGTCGTCAGGTATCTGACCATATACTGCGATTAGATACTGCGATTACCATATACTGCGATTACCTATCAGAACATTTCTAACTTCGATCATATTGAGAATTAGAATACTGCTTTAAGAACAGCACGACCAAAGCAAAACAGAGCAGCAGCAAATTGGCAATGAAACTTAATCTACTTATTTAATGAAACGAAAAGAAAACGACAACAAGACTACGACAAACACCAAAATTAAAACAAAACTAACCGCGATAAATATATGGTTAAAAATCTTAGATCTTGAACTTGCAAACGCTGAACATGGTTATATTTAGAAATTTTTTATTAACTTGTGGTTGCCCTTCAGCGAAACATTAGGGTCAAATTTTCGAATCATAAAAAAATTACTTTGTTTCAACAAAACTACTAGTTGCCTCCGGGCCCTTCGCTTCTAAATCTGTGAATTTGTTTCAGGAGTTCCTTTTCGAGTCTCAGTTGTGTGTCCCGAGGGACCTTAAACATTTTTTAATCCTTCCTTATTGTTCACCACAAAGACGCAATCAAGCAAACTTGACTACATAAGCAGGGCATTCATTTGAATCGAAACAAAAAAAACAGTACATGTTCTGTTCTCTCTCAAGAAATCAACAAAAGATTTCTTATCGCTCACGGTTTGAAGGGCATAATTATTCTAATCGATAAAAGAGTGTTGTAATTTTAAAGAAATATTTCTCCAGGTTGTGTTCTAAACGCTTGTACAACTTTCAAAGAAGTAAATTTGGGTCAAGTTAGTTAACATTTAGTTATAAAATAAGATTTCGTGAACTTAAAACTGCGTTACATTCTTAACGTTCTTAGCGGTCTGTTATTATAACTTTAACACAGTTGGCACGCTAATGATTTAAAGTAACTGTGAATCATTTCAGTCGATTTCCACACAGTCACTGCTCGATGTTTATTATTTTGCGTCTAAAGTGTGGGCAAGATATAATCCTCAAAGAAATGAGCTCAAACCTGCTCTTTGAGGGTGAAAATGTAAATGAGACGTTTGGAATATCTAAGCCGCATTTTGCTTCAGTTCGTGTGTTTATAGAACATAAGTGCATCTGAACGTGTTATGATGATTATAAAGTTTAATTTAGCATAGTAGATGCAATTGAAAAGAGTGATTCGGCAAATGTCGTAACGGAGCTCGATTAAAATTCAATCAACATCGCTGGAATTGCTAAGCGATTAACTTAACCAAGATCGCTTGTTACGAAAGAACGAGCTTGAATTGCCAAAAAAGCGTGACGCACTGAGCTTATTCAAAGCAGTTTTTTAACTCTAAGTAGTAACACTTACTTTGTGGTGAGTCCTTCAGTTTTTCATGGATCTCTTGAGAGTGCAATGAATCAAACTTTACCAGTTTGTTGACATCTCTTGCGGTCGTGTCGAGTCGTAAGCGCACAAGTCAACATTGATTAGATCATGCGTATCATAATTTCTGACTAATAACTTGTTTGCTCGTCGCAACCTGAACTCGATTTTCGAACCACTCGACCTTTCAAATCATAAAATTAACCTTGGTTCTTTTCTAATGTAGCCTTCACAAGCCTAAAAGAGACTGGAGTCGCTTTTGAAGTTCGATACTTGCTAAACATTTCTGCGAATCAGTCATTGCCAATCTCGGCAACCCCCGCCGAGAAACTTACGACAAATGAGATGTCTATGTCTTATGACGCAACTTGAGGCATTTATGAAAATAAATACTGAAGGCATTAAGAAAGTAATTTCTCCACAGAGGGGAATGTCCTAAAATGAATTTAACCGATGTTTCATAAAAATATCACCAAACATACTTTTTAATTCGAGTGATACTATAACCCTGAATTTATATATAAGGTCAGCTGGTTTACTAAGGTGTTACTCAAAACAATATTTACGCGCGAATGGAGATTTATTTTATCTAACTGAATTTGTAAAAAAAAAAAAAAAATAGCAAACAGTTGTAAGGGGCTTTATGATTGGTCTCTGTTAAATGGCACTGTTACTATACTGATTATATCACATCTCCTCGCACAAGGCCAAAATGAGATTACGTGGCTAAGAGTGGAAAGATTTACGTACGAATTGAATTCTAGTATTGATTACATTGGCATCAAACAAAAATCACGAACTATTCCAATATGTTTCACGATCTCCGCAGACAAATACTTTCAACAACCGGGTCAGTAGAAAATGCCGGATTTGGAGAAAATCGTTCTCAGTTGCAGTGACAGTAGTAAAATACTTACAAAATAGAATGAGAAAGCCGTTTAATCGCGTAAACGAAAATGCTAATATTGGCTTATCCACTTCAGTGAATACTGATAGTCCAATGTTCTCGCCTGGCTGTATCTTGGCTGTAATATAGTTAACTTTTCAAAGCTGTTATTGAAATTAGCTGTTTGGCGAGTGTTCGACTCGGCTGGAATCTCTCTTCCAGCTCGATATTTACCAGACAAGCCAATCTTTCTACAAAACTGGTTAACCCAAAGCTGTATAAAGTTATGATCTGAACAAATATATAGATCATATATGACCAAACAATTTTTCCTCATGAGGTTGACTAATAACGTCCACTTGATCAAATCATTTACTGACTTACCTTTATCTTCAATAACGACTCAGGGCTAAAAAATATATCTCCTTCGCTCCTTTCCTCATGAACAGAAGGATTTGGACATGTTGGAGAAGAATTTCGTCGGAAGGAAGGAATCTTTAAATTTAGACGTGGCATAGTTGTGCGATTTTTTTCCGATTTCTCCGCCATTTCGTTAATAGTTGGTTATGCGAATCCTACGCATTCACTCCCGAATTCTCACCCGCCATCATCCGGTTAAAGTTCTTTGTAATGAATTGATCCACTACACTATTTTAAGAATTATGAAACTGTATCGAAATCATCCTATCCCCAAATTTCACCGGCCGTCTTTTAACTCTTCGCTCTTTCTCCGAAGTCGCCTACGACATTATGTTCAGCCCACCACTCTTAGCAGAGAGGTGATATTTAGCAAACCGGATATACATGGATATTGTGGTCGATTTACTGCTCTTTATTTGAACTGAAAGTCATGTAAATAAGAAACAGTTTTGAATTAATAAAGATATAGCCATTAGCATTAGTGTTTACCACAGAGAGCATTCTAGCGTTACTCATGATCAGTCAGCCATTTCCGAAATTGGCCTCTGAAAAAAGCCCCTAAGATAAAACAAAACTGAAAGATTGTACCAAACGCTCAGACAGTACCTTTTATTTGCTAATATCAAAACTTTTTCATCTACCAAGGTAAAATTTCGCTGAGAAGATATAATTTTGAGTTTAAAGACGTACAAACAATTGAAAGAGTTAGGGTCTATGGTGCAAAGTACTATAAAAATGGACCATCTCAGACTTTTTCCATTTCTCCGATGAGATTTGTTGCATTGGCTTGAAATATTCCTTAAGAGCTTCTTGGACATTGACTGCTTAAGGGAGTGTTATTTGTTTTTATGGTAAATACGTTGGTCATAATTTTACTGGCCAATTTGAAGAAGGGTCCCTGACCGATATTGTTTGGTTAGCTGCAGACCAACTCATGGGAGTAAAAATGTTGCATGCAGACTGTGGAGGGGAGGGGAGGGGGCTTATTCCTCGATAAGTGCAGTGTGCTTTAATTTATATATCTTTACCACTTCAAATGAATATAAGAGAAAAGGAGGTGACTGAAATAATTAATTTGAGCTGAATTTTGCTAATTCCTGACTTCGACATTGAGCGGCAGGTCTGAAAAAAGGTGTAAAAGGTGCAAATCTGAAACGGATATGGAAAAAATTATGCTCTGAGCAGAAATTGAGTAAAGATTTTGAGGACCGGCGACACACCTCAGGCAAGAGTTCCGCTTTTTACCCGCACCATCCCTACCGTCTTATATTTAAATAGCAATTAGTGTATGATATTGGCGATATGCGAACAACACAGACTTTTTTTTCTAGCTATCACGTCCGAATTGAAAGATTTTGTATATAAATCAACAAACCTTTTCGAAAGAGTAAATGAGATATCGTCATACTGTGATCTAAGAGAATCACATTTAACTCTACAAGCGCCTGTATGGAATGAGATTGATTCCGATAAGACGGCTAGGATCAAACATTTTGAAAAATGTTTATTGGTGTAGAACTCAAAAAAGGGAAAAAATAGGATCTCATATAAGGTCGTATCTTTGTCTCAAGATATGTTCGTGAAGCAGATCTTGATCAGAAGCACTACATCTTTTCACAAATGAATTTCTTTGTTATTGTTATGATACTATTATCATTATCGATATCATAATATCAAATTATTTTCATTTTTACGTATATTAAAATTTCATTTAGTTACCTTTGAATTGACAATGCATGTGTTATTTCAGTTCCACGCAACTTCTTTGCCGAATTTCAAGACATGTGAACTTCTACAGGAGGGGTATCGAATGGTCTTTGCAAGCATTTGCGAGCATGCGAGCAGTATGTTTATTTTTGCGAGCACGAGCGGTTTTCAAATTTTTCTTACGAGCAGCGAGCAGCGAGCACTTTAGAAAATACAGATGGCGAGCCGCGAGCACCCTAGAAAATTACAGATGGCGAGCAGCGAGCACTTCGAGTACTTAGTAAATTTTCCGCTAGCTGGAATCCGTCTCGTTTACGTTGTTTTCCGCCAAGTAACAGCTAATAATCTGGCTGACACCTCCAAAACAGAACAATAGTTGCAAAGCTTGGGCGGTTCAACCAGTCCCAGCATCTTAAAATTAAGTGTGCCCTGCTTGATGCCAAAGTACATCAAGTAGCTTCACGTGAATCTGTCGGGGTGGACGTTCAAACACTTCAAGAGCTCTCAAGGAGATGTACTAGATCCAAAGCCCACGATATAAAGTTTTCCATCTCTTTCTAACCTGACGCAAAAATGGAAGGTATGTTTTGTTTGGGTATATAGTTCTTAGGAAATGTAAATAACGTGATATTCGGTCTAACAAGCATTTCGGGCTTCGNACGTCTGGAGAATCAGGGATGTGCGGCAAGCAGTGAAGAATACGATTAGATGGAGTAACTAATCACGAACAAAGATACATCTTAGAGATATTGTATGGTTTAGTCACTACAGTAAAAGGTAATGATAACGAGGCGTTATCCTTTTTCTCATGACGTCAACACTTCTGATGTGGAACGCGTCGTTCGCAAGCGAAGAATTTCCTCGTCACGTGTAAACTTGAAACGATTCATGCTTCGTCCAGAGTGGTTGGTTTTTAAAAGCTTTGATTGGTGTAGCCCTAAGCGTGGACAGACTCCTCACACTGCTGCTGGCGCTAAGATGCAGGCAGGTCGTGACAGCGGAGCGTGTACGAGCCGTTATAAGTAGCTTTTAGATCTCGAGCGTGTTTGCGAGCACCACGTATTTCTGGAATGGCGACATAACCATGATCATAAGTTGCAGTGCACCTTTAATTTGTTTATCAACCTCGGCATTGTGTTAGGCGAAGATGTGTCAATCAATTAGACAACGTCACATCCAAATAGGCTGTCAAAATCAGAATGTCCCTGTAAATATAGCACGTTACAAGAACACAGTATCCACAGTGGTATACATTCAGCTGTTTCTTGTGGTTTGTTACCTTCCTTACGGTATCGTTACAACTGTGTCAGCTGTGAGGGGATTGAAACCATCTTTGGTTCTACCTTGGGCATCGAGTTATTGCCTTGTCTTGATTAACTCGTTCATAAATCCACTTCTTTACGTCTAGAGAGTCAGAGATGTTCGGCAAGCAGTGAAGAACACGATCAGATGGAGTACATGAAAGAGCGATTGTGTGGTTCAGTCATTGCAGTAAAAGGTAATGATAACGAGGTTATATCCTTTTTCGCATGACGTCATCTTTTCTGATGTGGAACGCGTCGTTCGCAAGCGAAGAATTTCCTCGTCACGTTTAAACTTGAAACGATTCATGCTTCGTCCAGAGTGGTTGGTTTTTAAAAGCTTTGATTGGTGCAATTTTATTATCTGTTGTTACAGCTGTCTGTTGCCGATCGGCTCTCCTGTTGTTGTGTTCCTCCATCACGCACGGCCGGGCATAAATGCTTCCAGGATTTCTGTACAACGTGTTGATGATTTCTATTCTTCTTGTTGATGTTGCTAGGCAGAAGTTTTACGCCGGTCACAGACGGTCCCTGTCCGAAGAGGCCTGGCAGAATGCATTCGTAGCTATACGATCCAAGTCGGAAATGGCCACTTTGTAAGATAAATGTCAATACTTTATCACCAAAATCACTGTACCTGTAGTTGTGAGGGTGGAACAACTAAATTAAGTCAGTTTAGCGTTTTGTCCCGCTTCCCATGATGCTCTATTTATGATAATTTTTCACTCTCTCCAAAGAGACCCCCATCCCTTTCAACGAGTTAAAAAAGGTTTAGGTTTGCTAAGAATTGGATTTGAATCACTGAGGAGGGAAACATTGAGAGATGAAAAGAGCAGATAACACTGACCTAGAATGTTTTTTATTGAGGAAATATCTATTTTGGCTCTCTTCCTTTTACTACTGATCAATTTCGAAGTTCTATCGAACAAATGAAAAAAGTTCACTGAAAGGAAATTTTTAAAAGATAAAAAAGCCAAGCCGTAGGAGAAACTTTAGTGCTTATTCATAATTATTGAGCGCGACAGTTTACCCCTGAGTAACGTTCACGCTGACGCACTCTGCAATCAGCTTAAAGAGATGAGCAAGAAACGCCGTACACTGCTACCAAGGAAAATATGACTGAGTTCATCAGCGAACGACCGCCTTCATTGAGAAAAGGCAACCTCTTCTCAAATCCTGTCCAAATTAATTCTAGCGCTACATCGATCGAGATCACTCCGAATTCCTGGTGTGAACTCAGCGCGAGAACCCGACGGGATCTGCGTGCGATCCCTGCGGGATAGCGAGCATTAAGCTTGTTGCAAGCCTCTTGGAAAGAAGCAATAAAAAGTGCTCTACTCTAACTCTAAACTTCATTGAAGTTTTTCTGAAACCTCAAGCTAGCAAGGATTCTCAAAATGACCGCTTTCGGCTTCAAACGCGACAAATACTTCCATCTGCAACTTGACTGTTTGAGAAAACACTTGTTGATAAATAGCGCGTACGACAACCTCTACCAAATATGTCAACACCAAGAATCTAAAGCTCGCAGTCAAAACATGATGATCATTCGGGTCAGTTAAACCGTACTTTTGTCACCGTCATATTGCATATTGAAGCATTTTGTTCACTGGAAAAACAAGGACATGTGACTACTCAAAACAAAAACAATATGAACGTTACTCCTAAGCCTGCATTCATATGGACCAGACCCTCATGGACGAATGTATTGAGTGTATGCGCATGAGCAGTGCTTCTGTCTGAGCCGACAGTAAATGAATATAAATTAATAGCTGTGGACGCTCTTTCTGGAATCTTCGTGACAACCAGGTGCTGCTCTCACACTAGGCGCGGTAGCCGCGTTGGACGGATTTGTCAGCTTAGATATTTTGATAAGCGGATCTGAAATTTTGCCATCGCCCAAAACTTTTTTCGGAAGGGAGTTGACATAACTATACTGTATCGTTTTAAAAATTTCATGGAAGCGATCCTCACGGTAAGGAACACTACACACGTAGTAGTGAAAACAAGGCTTGAAAAAAAATTGAATAAAGGCTGATAGTTTCGAAAGAAACTGTTTGGGGCTGCGTCGGTGGGAGTAACGAAATAATTTGGATATATCAACAAAGTTGAAATGGTAAATTGGCCATTGTAACGATTACAAAAGCTGACGTTTCGACGAAGAGCGACGCTCCGACGAAGGGCTAACGCTTGAAACGTCAGCTTTTGTAATCGTTACGGTGGCCAATTTACCATTTCAACTTTGTTGATATATCCAAATTATTTTGAAAAAAAAAATTCACGCCCTGTTGGCTTGCTAGGTCAGTTGGTAGAGCACTGCACCGGTATCGCAGAAGTGTAGGTTCATATCCCGTGCGGGCCCGAATTCTATTTCAAGCTTTATTTCCACTACTACATAAGTAGTGTTCTTCACTACGAGGATCGCTTTCATACATTTCTTAAAACCGCAGTACAAATATATGATTTTCATATATTCAAATTCATTGTATCGTTTTATTTCAATACTTCGCAAGATAAAAAAGCGCACTTTATAAATTAACAAATATAACAGTCTGAAATAACACAAACGTAGGTTTGCACACTCTTTCGCATACTCGTGTACATCTCGTCCTGGCTCTGGAACGTACGACATTGACCGATCAGAGGCCGCAGAGGACACTGGGACCGAAGGCGGCGGCAAAAGGCTCATAGCTGGTGTGGGTGAGGTGCTCAGCATAGTTGCGTGTGATCCTGCTGAAATGCATGACGAAAGCAGAGCTTTTAAACTTGTGCGGACTTTCCGCTACATTGTGAGGTAAATTAGAGGATAAGTAACACAACTATTCTAGTCTTCTCGGGTAGGGACGAATAAATAGAGGTCCCGTCTCCTGCAGGGTTAGGGGTAGGAGACGTTAATTTCCCACGCACGAGATTACTGTGTGATAGATGTCCTCCCCTGGGATGGGATGGGTGGGTTTGTTGGAGCTTAAACCTCGTAGGGGACCCATGTCCTATTGTTTCTGCTCCAGTACTTGGTACAAATCCTTAAAGAAATAAATAAATAAACAACACAGAAAACGAACAAGCTCAAGTATTAGCCAAATGTTGAAATAATTACCTGAAGTTTGACCGAACACGTGTGTGGTGTTAGCCAAAATGAGGGACCAGAACAAATGTACTGTAAAACTGTCTTTCGTTACCCCCACCGACGCAGCCCCAAACAGTTTCTTTAGAAACTTAAAATCAAAATTTAAAGAATAGAGAAGCAGATTCTGGCACCCTAACCAGTCCACTTTGTTTCTTCAACTGATAGTTTTATTTGACGATAAAAATCAACGGTAAAACACGACGTTTCGACCGTGCTTCGGTTATTGTCAAGTGAATGGAATGAAATACAGTAAATATATGTATATATACATTGTATTTCAGTAAATATGTATATATTTACTGTATTTCATTCCATTCACTTGACAATGACAAAAGCACGGTCGAAACGTCGTGTTTTACCGTTGATTTTTATGGTCAAAAGTTTTAAGAAACCCTTGCTGATAGTTTTATTGTCTAATTTTTTAAAAAGAACTTTGGGTGAACCCATCTTGAATGAAAACAGAAGAGCTTTACGGGTCCGTTGAGTTATTGGGAACTTCGAGAAGCGGGCCCCTACGGGCCCTTAAATTTGTGCGTGAGCAGAAGATTATTGTTTGAAATAGGCTCTGAACATAAGTTTACCTAGCAGGTATCAATAAAAAGCTATTACACCGAGACTACTTAAAACTCATTTAATTGCATTTGTAGCGTTCATACGAAGATCACTTTATTGATAACATACTTAAATTCCATCTTCCTCAATGAAGAAGTTGCCGGTTAGTTAGTCGAAAATATTTAATTCAATAAAACAAAGATTGAAGTCACTTTAAAAATTTGCCCCCTTTTTTACTCAGTGGGCCACTTAATTATTCAGTTTCTCAATGAATTTGTTGGTTTTCTTCGGGATGCGGAGTACCTCTCAGGAAAGTTACAAGTGTAAATTCTACATACGCATGCCTTTTGTCACCGAAGTGTGAGTCTTCATATTAGCAAACCAAATATCAAAAACAAATTGATTTTTGTTTGCTAGGTTTTTATGTCATTGCGAAAACCATCAGGCAACTTAGTGAGCAAATTCTCATTGGCTGGAGGCGAGGATATCTAATAATAATGATTGACATTTGTTGAAAGGCTGCAACGAAAAAACTTTAGATGATGGCAAAGCTGACCANAAGTAGACGAGCTGTCTCGAACTCCTTGAAACAGGAAAGTTATATTTGTTATATTTGCAAACCTTACGTATGCTTGATAAATAATACAGGCAGAGAAGATGGAGAATTTCACTAACAACGAACGCCAGCTTTTCCACCAGCTCGAAGGTTTTATTTGCGTGGCTAAAAATTCAACCGCTAGAGACGTCCAGTTAGAGAGATTTCTTGCCGTCTTTAACTTTTTCATATCCATCGTTGCATCGCTCGGAAATCTCATCATTCTTATTGCTCTCCCAAAGACCTGTTCTCTTCGCTCTCCGTCAAAGATCATGTATCGCTGCTTGGCAACCACCGATTTTTGTGTAGGGGTCGTGGCACAACCGGCATTCGCCTTGCAGTTGCTGTACATTAACAGTGAGAGACAAGAATTGTGTTACATGTTTCTCCGAGTGAGTTTCTGCGCTGGGATAATTCTTTGCGGCGTTTCCATGACAACCCTCACAGCCCTAAGCGTGGACAGACTCCTCGCACTGCTGCTGGCGCTAAGATACAGGCAGGTCGTGACAGCGGCGCGTCTACGAGCCGTTATAAGTAGCTTTTGGATCTTAAGCGTGTTCGCGAGCACCACGTATTTTTGGAATGACGACATAACCATGATCATAAGTTGCAGTTTACCTTTAATTTGTTTATCAACTTCGGCCTTGTGTTACGCGAAGATGTGTCAATCGATCAGACGACGTCACGTTCAAATAGGCTGTCAAAATCAGAATGTCCCTATAAATATAGCACGCTACAAGAACACAGTGTATTCAGCGGTATACATTCAGCTGTTTCTTGTAGTTTGATACCTTCCTTACGGTATCATTACAACTGTGTTAGCTGTGAGGGGATTGAACCCATCTATGGTTCTACCTTGGGCATCGAGTTATTGCCTTCTTTTGATTAACTCGTCCATTAATCCGTTTCTTTACGTCTGGAGAATCAGGGATGTGCGGCAAGCAGTGAAGAATACGATTAGATGGGGTAACTAATCACAGACAAAGATACATGTGAGAGATATTGTATGGTTTAGTCATTGCAGTAAAAGGTAATGATAACGAGGCATTATCCTTTTTCTCATGACGTCAATACTTCTGATGTGGAACGAGTCGTTCGCAAACGAAGAATTCCTCATCACACGCGTAAAATTGAAACGATTCATGCCTCGTGGAGAGTGGTTAGTTTTCAAAAAGCTTTGATTGGCGCAATGTGATGATATGTTCCCCGTTCGGCTCTCCTGTTTTTGTGTTTCTCCATTGTGCACGGCCGGGTATCAATGCTTCCAGGATTTCTGTTCTACTTGTTGATGATTCCTATTCTACTGTTGATGTTAATAGGCAGAAGTTTTACCCCGGTCACCTCCTTTAGCCTGTGTCCCTGTCCGAAGAAGACTGGCAGTATGCATTCCTAGCTATGCGATCCACGTAGGAAATGGACATTCCCTAGGATAAATGATAATATTTTATAACCAAAATGAAAAGAACACACAACCCTTGGTATGTTTTCAATCTTCTCCTTAAAAAGAAAGATCTATAATGGCTCTCGTCTTTTTGGCAGCTGTTCAATTACGAAGTTCCATCGCACAAAGGAAAAAAGATCACTGGAAGGAAATTTTTAAGGGGTAAAAAAAGCCAAACCGTTATAGAAAAGTTCGCGGCTCATACATATTTATTTAGCACGACAGTTCACCAGTAACGTTCGCGCTGATGCACTCAGCGATCAGCCTAAAGAGAAGAACAAGATATGCTGCACACTTCTACCAAGGCAAAGATGAGCTCATGAGCGAGCGACCGCCTAGATTGAGAAAGGGCAACTTCCTCTCAAATCCTGTCAAAATTAATTCTAGCGCTACGACGACCGAATTTCGGTAATCCACCCAAAATCCTGTCGAGATCACTCCGGGTTCCTGTTGTGATCCCAGCGGGAACCCGATTTGATCTGCGTGCGATCCTCGCAGGATAGCAGCGCTTTCTTAGCATTATCGTTGCAAGCCCCTTGGCAAGATGCCACTAAAATTGCTCTAATCTAACGCCAAACTTCATCAAAGTTATTCCGAAAACTCAAGCTCGCAAGGATTTCTCAAAATCACCTCTTTTAAATTCAAACGTGATAAAGAACTTCCATCTGCAACTTGACTGTTTGAAGTTCCATAAACTGTTCAACAAAGAACTTGTTTGATGAGTAGCGCGTGCGACTACCTTTACAAAATACGTCAACATTACCGCCTCCCGGTTAGCTCAATCGATAGAGGGCTGGACTGATGTGCGGGAGGTCGAGGGTTCGAACCCCGACCGGACCAACACTCAAGGTCTTAATATAATTGAGAAGAATATGCTGCCTTTCTATAACATCAAGAAATGGTTTAGATATTCTAGTCTTCTCGGATAGGGAAGAATAAATGGAGGTCCCGTCTCCTGCAGGCTTAGGGGTAGGAGACGTTAATTTCCCACGCACGAGATTACTGTGTGATGGATGTCCTTCCCTGGGTGGGATGTGTGGGTTGCTGTCTTGCGTTTCATACATGCACCTCTGGCTCGGGCAATATGGGTAACCATGCCCCATTCGTGTCAGTTTAAGCCTACTTCTGTCACGGTCATATCGACACATTGCAGCATTTTATACATTGGAAAAACAGGAGCATGTAACTACTTCACTGGCGTCAAAACAAAAACAAAATGAATGATACTTCTAGGCCTTCGTTCATGTGGATCGGACCCTTATGGACGAAAGTATCTAATGTATGCGCGTGAGCAGTACTTCTGTCTGAGCAACAGTAAATGAATAGCTGTGGACGCTCTTTAGGGAATCCTCGTGACAACCAAGTGGTGCTCTTACACTTGGCGTAGTAGCGAGGTTGTTTGGATTTGTTAGCTTTAATATTTTGATAAGCGAACCTGAAATTCTACCATCGCCCAAAAGTTTTTGAGAAGGGAGTTAAAAAAACTGTATCGTTTTTATTTAAATACTTTGTACGATAAATAAAAGCCCACGCTATGAAATTAACAAATATTACTGTCTGTAATAACTCAAACATAGGCTTTCGCACTTCTTTACATACTCGTGTACATCTCGTCCTCTGGAAGGTACGACAATGACCGATCAGAGGCCGCAGAGGACGCTGGGACCGAAGGCGGCTGCGAAAGGCTCCTGGCTGGTGCGGGTGAAGTACTCGTCATAGTTGCCTGTGATCCTGCCGAGCTGCACGACGAAAACAAAGCTTTTAGACTTGTACGGATTTTCTGATACATTGTGAGGTAAATTAGAAGATAAGTAACACAACGCAGAAAACGAACAAGCTCAAGTATTAGCCAAATGTTGAAATAATCACCTGAAGTTTGACCGAACAAATGTATGGTGTTAGCCAAAATGAGAGGACCACAGCAAAGATACTGCAAAGCTCTTATTAATAAAAGCATACACGTCATTTTTCGACGCTTTTTGTGAAGAATTGCATTACCTCCCGAAGTAGTGCTCCTTGGTTCTTGTAATTTATGGAGAACTTTGACAAAAACGAAGATAAATAAAACTATTGGTGCTAGAAATAGCAGTAGTAACACTACCACTGAATAGAATGTTTGTTCGCTGTCAGAATTCCAGGTTTGCGAACATATTTGCTTTGTTTCTCCGTTGGGAAACTTGAATTCTTTAACATCGTAAGCGTAAATATATGGTGCAAACAATAGACACGATAAAATCCATATTAATGTGATGGCAAAGGCAGGTTTCTTGAGAAGAAAAGCCTGCCTGTGTCTTATCGGAAGACAAATTCCATAAAGGCGATCTATGCTTGCCAAGCAAAGTGTGAACATCATAACTGCATACGACGCATGAACAAGGAAATAGCAAAGTTTACAGGTTCCAATTCCATTACTCCATTCTAGTTTAGCATTGTTCAGGGTAAATGTGGCAGAAAACGTTGATATGATGTCGGAAACTGCTATGTTTGCAATAAAGACATCCATGTTACTTCGAAGGTTCGTGTTCTGAGTATATAGAGCGGTCAGAATTGTGATATTGCTTATCAAAGACAAAAACACAATTACTAGTAAAAATACGATGTAAAAGTCAACCAGAGATGCGTCGATGTTTTCAAAAGCGATCCCAGAATTAATTGAAATCATCGTGGCTTCCGTCTGCTGGTACCAAACACTAACACGACACAAAGAACTTAACCAACAACAAGAAAGTCGTCTTCCCGTTGCCAACAAGTTTCTGCTCTTTGTGAAAAGCCCACATAAAGGTTTTCAACTCCTAACGCTTTCTTTCTATTCAAAGTAATCTTAGTGAGTGTTATTTTTCCTGAATATTTTGAAATATCAAGTTTCGCCAAGCGCCGCCACGCTCATTCTTGTTCACTACATCTTGATTTCATGCCAACTCCTAGATGACGCAAATTGCTTCACTGGAAATTTGAACTACTCCTACAGATCTCTTCCTAATTTTCTTGCGTTGTTCGTTCAGCTTTGAGGCGTTCGTTTGTTTGTGTGTTCAACCAATCTATTTCGATTACGGAGTTTACATTCCCACCAAAGAGAAAACGTTTCTTCAAACATCAACCAAACCAGTTCCAAAGCGATGTTTAGGGATACACGAGGTACTGTTTCTGGTCCAAACGAGCGGCGGAAATTACAGGTTTTACGCGGTTTGTCGTCTTAAACCTCAGTATGTCCGCTTGACTCAAACTAATCACTTTATGCCTTGAAAACCATACGATTTGGATAACAAAAGAAAGCTCATTAGAAACGACTAATTTTATTGTATGAAATAATTACTGGTGTCACCCGGGGGACAGCTCGGGCAACCAATGAACTCTAAGTATTCTTCTCGGCTGACAACTAGACTTAATAAACTTCAACAAACTCTCTAAACATGTTGCTTTTTGATTTAAAGCATGAAGACAAGTTGTTTGTTGTCCTGAGTAACTAAGAAAATGCAAAGGCTTCCACTGTACATTCTGCTCTTTACTCTCTTCATTCAAAACGATATTTGTCGATACGTTACTATAAAATTAATTCACGTTATACTTCAGTGAACATGCATAAGTATAGGTTTAGAACGGATTGGTACCCTTCTCTCGAAATGACTTTAAGAGTTTAATACATTACTTTAAAGCACGGCATTAAACACTTCAGCGAGAATACACGAGAATGAAAACGAATTAGCGATAGAATTAGTAAAATTAAAGTCAAAATCCTTCGAGAAACAACAAACAATTCATGAATGACAAAATAAATTCCTTAAAAGCCTCGAAGCCCTGTAAATAACCACGGCAGAGATAAGAAATATTACTGTTATTGACTCTGTTTTATTAAAAGTGGTGCTTTCGCTTCGGGATTCTTTAAACTCACTGTTTACAAAGAAAAGTGAAAAAGAGCACAGCGGCGGTCTGTCTACTTTTGACAAAAATAACGTTAATGCTTTTATTTCAGTTTGTTAAACAAACGTAAAACGTGGCTTTTTCGTGTACCGTCTGGTGTGCAGGCGGGTTGTAAAGAATAACTGTCACTGTTTTCAGTGCTCCTTCTTTCAGGTAGTCAGTTCTTGAGCTTAAGGAATTGAGGTCATAAAATCACATAAAGAAGAGAACTGTGATGTCAAGTGATAAATCGGATAAAATTTGACTGTAGTTTCATGGTCAGAATCAGTGGGAGACAAGGTTGGAGACGGTGCTCGAGCTCTAACTGCGCATGCGTCATCATACATGTTTTGATATTTGGAATGGTCAACAGCAAATCAGAAAGGAGGATCTGGTATACAAATGAGGCAGGGCCAATCTGATAGTAGCTTTATAAATGGTCAATGCGTCATTTGCATATCATCACCTGCTTCCTGATTGGCTGTGGACTATGGTATGCTGCCCCCTGACGATGACTGACAATTTATTCTCAAGGTGCTTCCCTCGACCAAGGATAGCAATTCTACTCCCGGTAGAGTATGGGTCCATGGAGACGCTTTGTGCGTTGTCATCAGTCATTGTTGTCATCGTAGTCATTGACGTTATCGTTTAGGTTTTTGTTGTCGTCGTCGTCGTTGACGTAAACGTTGTCATCATCGTTATGACGACAACGAAGACGACAACGACGATGAGGTCATCGTTGTCGTCATTTTTATCGTCATCATCGTTGTTGTCTTCATCGTCGTTGACGTTATCGTCGTCGTTGACATCGTCGTCGTTATCATTTCCTTTCTTAAATATGGAAAAAAACTCCCCATAGGTATTGTAATTCTGCAGGCAAATCCGTAGAAAGCCTTACGGGGCAAATGGGAGTATTCCATTTACGTTTTTCCTGTTAAGTTTTACAGAGAAAATACCGAGCTACCCTCAATGAAACTTTTCCTTATAAATTCATGGAAAAGAAGTAAAAGTTCCCTGGAAAGGGTTTCGCGGAAGGAGCTTGATTGGGACAACAACTTACAACTGGCCCCAAGACTTATCGACATTTATCTTCTGGCGTAATATATCATGAAAGCACTAGGAGAATACACATAACTATAAACAATGAACCCTTAACCCCTAGGAGTGATTGACTTCTAATTTCTCCTTACATTATATTCCTAAAGCAAATGTAAAGGTCATAGGGATAACGAAAATGATCACCGATGCAAGAAACTCCTGATTGTCCAACAAATTCTCCTTGATATTACTACTCTTATTCACCAGACAAGTCTGGTGAATAAGAATAATAATATGAAGGGGTTGTAAAGGGTTACAACCGACCTCGTTACCGGGATCTCTGGGAACAAGGCTGGTTTACAACTCCGCAAAAAAATGAGTGGATCACCAGAATTTATATAGTTAAGTTTCACCGACTCTGGATTTTTGTCCAAAAGCAGAAGGTCTCTCCATCACGCACACCCCTAGGATAATTAGTTAACCAATAGTAAACTTGGGCTGTTGATGTTGGTTTTCAGGGTCTTCTATGCAAAAATGTCTGTTTACGAGCAAAGTGAAATAGCCATGATTGGAAAAGAGGAATCTCATAGTAAAGTGAATCGTTGTTTTAGTTGAATTTTAGATTAAAAAGGAGTGACACCAGCCATTTCTGTTTACGAGCAAACTGACCCATCAGGCCGGCGCTTAACTCCGGTTTCCGTAGCATTTCTACTCACCCTGGATGGGATGTTAGTCCATCGCAGGGTTATCCACCATTAAAACACCATTTATACACCTGGGTTAAGAGAGACACTGCATGTGAGAGTAAAATGTCTTGCTCAAGAACACAACACAGTGTTCCCGGCCATTACTCGAACCCAGACCACTTGATCCTGATACGAGCGCACTAACCATGAGGCCACTACACCACCCACTGTTCTTTATGTATTGGTCGTTTAATTGATGGATAAAGTTATCCAACTAGACTGAAAATGGCTGGTGTCACTCCTTTTTAATCTAAAATTCAACTAAAACAACGATTCACTTTACTATGAGATTCCTCTTTTCCAATCATGGCTATTTCACTTTGCTCGTAAACAGACATTTTTGCATAGAAGACCCTGAAAACCAACATCAACAGCCCAAGTTTACTATTGGTTAACTAATTATCCTATGGGTGTGCGTGATGGAGAGACCTTCTGCTTTTGGACAAAAATCCAGACCCGGGAGAGGGCGAGAGCGTTAATGACTAGGGCCTTGCCATGAAAAGAGAGAACACGAGAACGCCAAGACTTGAGAACACGGTCCACCGCATTAATGCGAGGACGCCAGTTGTCTTCATCAAGGTTACCGGGGCCGACAAACACCCCCAGCACCTTGAGCTTAGCAGGAGACCAGTCAAAAGGAACCGGGGGGTCCGTACGACCCCGCCAACCACCCAACCAGAGACCCTTGGACTTAGAAAGGTTGATCTTAGATCCAGAAGCTAGTTCAAAAAGCTTGTAAGTCTCAAGGGCAGCCAGAATGCCAGAATGCCTGGTGTGCAGGCGGGTTGTAAAGAATAACTGTCACTGTTTTCAGTGCTCCTTCTTTCAGGTAGTCAGTTCTTGAGCTTAAGGAATTGAGGTCATAAAATCACATAAAGAAGAGAACTGTGATGTCAAGTGATAAATCGGATAAAATTTGACTGTAGTTTCATGGTCAGAATCAGTGGGAGACAAGGTTGGAGACGGTGCTCGAGCTCTAACTGCGCATGCGTCATCATACATGTTTTGATATTTGGAATGGTCAACAGCAAATCAGAAAGGAGGATCTGGTATACAAATGAGGCAGGGCCAATCTGATAGTAGCTTTATAAATGGTCAATGCGTCATTTGCATATCATCACCTGCTTCCTGATTGGCTGTGGACTATGGTATGCTGCCCCCTGACGATGACTGACAATTTATTCTCAAGGTGCTTCCCTCGACCAAGGATAGCAATTCTACTCCCGGTAGAGTATGGGTCCATGGAGACGCTTTGTGCGTTGTCATCAGTCATTGTTGTCATCGTAGTCATTGACGTTATCGTTTAGGTTTTTGTTGTCGTCGTCGTCGTTGACGTAAACGTTGTCATCATCGTTATGACGACAACGAAGACGACAACGACGATGAGGTCATCGTTGTCGTCATTTTTATCGTCATCATCGTTGTTGTCTTCATCGTCGTTGACGTTATCGTCGTCGTTGACATCGTCGTCGTTATCATTTCCTTTCTTAAATATGGAAAAAAACTCCCCATAGGTATTGTAATTCTGCAGGCAAATCCGTAGAAAGCCTTACGGGGCAAATGGGAGTATTCCATTTACGTTTTTCCTGTTAAGTTTTACAGAGAAAATACCGAGCTACCCTCAATGAAACTTTTCCTTATAAATTCATGGAAAAGAAGTAAAAGTTCCCTGGAAAGGGTTTCGCGGAAGGAGCTTGATTGGGACAACAACTTACAACTGGCCCCAAGACTTATCGACATTTATCTTCTGGCGTAATATATCATGAAAGCACTAGGAGAATACACATAACTATAAACAATGAACCCTTAACCCCTAGGAGTGATTGACTTCTAATTTCTCCTTACATTATATTCCTAAAGCAAATGTAAAGGTCATAGGGATAACGAAAATGATCACCGATGCAAGAAACTCCTGATTGTCCAACAAATTCTCCTTGATATTACTACTCTTATTCACCAGACAAGTCTGGTGAATAAGAATAATAATATGAAGGGGTTGTAAAGGGTTACAACCGACCTCGTTACCGGGATCTCTGGGAACAAGGCTGGTTTACAACTCCGCAAAAAAATGAGTGGATCACCAGAATTTATATAGTTAAGTTTCACCGACTCTGGATTTTTGTCCAAAAGCAGAAGGTCTCTCCATCACGCACACCCATAGGATAATTAGTTAACCAATAGTAAACTTGGGCTGTTGATGTTGGTTTTCAGGGTCTTCTATGCAAAAATGTCTGTTTACGAGCAAAGTGAAATAGCCATGATTGGAAAAGAGGAATCTCATAGTAAAGTGAATCGTTGTTTTAGTTGAATTTTAGATTAAAAAGGAGTGACACCAGCCATTTCTGTTTACGAGCAAACTGACCCATCAGGCCGGCGCTTAACTCCGGTTTCCGTAGCATTTCTACTCACCCTGGATGGGATGTTAGTCCATCGCAGGGTTAACCACCATTAAAACACCATTTATACACCTGGGTTAAGAGAGACACTGCATGTGAGAGTAAAATGTCTTGCTCAAGAACACAACACAGTGTTCCCGG